GCGGCAAGCACAACCGTTCCCCTCGTTGATTTCAAGGGTCAGTCTTAATGGTTGACATAGAGAATATTAGGGGTCTCTCCCCGACCCCTAATTTCTCCTGGCGGTTCGGACGAAAGTCCCGGTCAATTCCTCTCTAGACAGACAATCTAAGGGTTAATCCATCGGTTCTCGGGTGACCAACTGACCTTCGGCCGCCCGACAACGTGTCGGGCCACCTCTGGGCATCCTGCTCCTCCTCTAGCCTAAACGCCGCTATCTCCTCATGGAGATACACCTCAGCCCAACCTATAATTACACAAACCCCCCATTTTGGCCACTTCAGGGCTCAGATAGAAATAGGTTTTCACCTCTCCGTATGCGGTCTCCCCTAAGCATCTGTCGCGAGGGTTATGGCTGGTCTGTACCTCTTCGAACATCCAGAGCCAAGCACCAAGCCATAAGACTATCGACCTCCACTTGTATCGGTCGTCGTGCCAATCTGTTGGCCGAGATGGTAAGGTAAACTTCATTAAATCGCCCTCAATGAGTTTTGGGGGTTCATTATTCCAGTACCTCTCCACAGCGTACTCCTCGACTGTCGATGGGAACCACATTCGTCCAAGCTAACCTCCTTTTAGGTTTGTAGGATGAGAGCGAATGAGATGCGGCAGAAAAGATGTTAAAGAAACTCCAAACCCTAAAAAAAAATTGGCAGCATCTACTCTCCTTCCGTTGGGATTGGGTTCGGGACAAGTCCCAAGCAGATAACTGTCTACAGTGGCTAAGGGTCGACACAAATACTCTGAACAGGTAAGTGAGGACTAGGGATCGAGCCCTGGGACCTGCATCTGCTACTGATAACAGGTGAATACCGTTTCATATTTTTTAGATAAAGAATTAAAACAAATTAAAAAAAAAAAAACGTTTAAATTCTAAATTACGCCTCTAACCGACTTTTGCAGTGCACATAAGTGACGCAAAATTTTGGGACGAGATCCCGAAGACATTCAAAGTTCCTCTCATAGGATATAGATGCAAAAATGAGTGAATTATTTCAAATTTTGCTATTAAAATTTGTAAAATTTAAAATAAATAACTAAAAATTAAATAAAATTTATTTTCTGAATTGTTTTGTATCGCTCTTTGGATTTTTCTTGACAACTTTATTTTGGGGATACGTCCCCAACCCAATCCCAACGGGGGGGAGGGTAAATGCTGCCGATTTTTTTTTTAATTCCTAGTATTTATTCCCAGGGCTTTTCTTATGGTTATATTTACTTTCTCGTTATCACTTGTAGTTTGGGGACGCAGTGGACTATAAATATCTATCTTATCTCTATTCTAATCATTTCAAAAATGAATGAAATGATTAGAATAGAGATAAGATAAATAGTTTTTCACAAATTTAGCAATGTATATATGCTTTTTTGGAATTAGCCTCTTAAACCCTTCAATTCTATTAAACCTCAGCATACCCTAACTTTTAAGAATTAAAGATAATTTTTTTTTTTTTATCATGATTAAATTTATTTTCTTTCAATTCATGTTAAAAAGAATACAATAAAAATCATAATAAGGGTATAAAAGACTGATAAAACACGCCAACCATACTGTATGATCTGTTTTATTGAGCTTAAAAATTAAGAACCGAAAATAAAAATTTATCATAATTAAATTTATTTTTAATTAATTAATTACTAAAAATTATAAAAAAATAAAAATAAAGGTCAATTTTTTTTAAAAAATCTGTACTACGTTTTTTCTACATTTAGACTTATTTCCCCCTAAGTTTTAAAAATGTAAAAACAGATGATCCTGCCTCGATCTTAATTTTAATCAATTAAATCCTAGGCTACCAGAGTGGCCCGGGTTCACTTGCCCGGCTGTGTTTTGATAGTTGTTGTTGTCTGTCGCAGGTCTGTGTAGTGGTAAGGGTTCGATCTGTAGGTCAGTCGAGTAGGAATTACAACCCTGTAGAGGTCGTAGTTGTACGAAACCTGAAAGTTCAAGGTCGTAGCTGCTACAGTCCTGAATAGTCAAGGTCGTAGCTGCTACAGTACTTGAAAGGCCAAATCCACAGACTTCCGGAAGGTCCGGAAGTGGCTTTTCGGAACTCCCTCACGTTTTAGTCAGAGGCAAGTGGGCAAGTGGTGAGCCCAGCTGCATTACGTCGGCAGTGCGACTGCATTGAGTTGATAATGCAAACCCATGCAGTCAGCGGTACCAGTCCAGTCGATCCCAGTCTAGTCAAGCAAGTACCATGCGGGACTGTGTGCACCATAGGCCTGGGGAAGAGGGGCAGACCAACAAGTTACAGAAGTATAAATTAAGAGGCAGCGCCCAGTCATAGGTTCATTCGTTGCGTAAGCCATATGGAAGCGGTGTTACAACGTCTTGTGCGAAGGTGGTCTGCAGGTTGTCCGAAGACGAAGTGGGCTGAAGGGAGATCGTAGCCATAGTCAGTAGTGATAGTGCGGCCATAGCCGTTGTAGGAGGAAGAACGACCATTTCGTCAAAATTGACATTTTTTATTTTTTTGAAATTGAAACTTTTGGCTGAAAACTCGTCAAAATTTGTTGTTTCTGAGGGCCCACGCTAGACCCCCTGGCTGTACATGGACCTAGCTTGCAACCAGGCACCTCTAGGCAGGACTGCCTGGAGGTGCCTGGTTGCAAGCTAGGTCCATGTACAGCCAGGGGGTCCAATGTTTGTAAAACGCTGGACCCTCAAAAACAATAAATTTTGACGAGTTTTCGGCCAAAAAACTCAGTTTCAATTTCGTTCAAAAAATAAAAGATGTTCATTTTGACGAAATGGCAGTTGAAGTGAGATTAAGTGTGTGTGTGTGGTTGTATTCAGGATGATCCAGCGTGAGCATGTGTGAACAATAGGGTTGGACACAGTGACGAAGGTTGGGATGTTCAGGCGCCGATGCGCCATAGCCTGTTGAAGTGAATTTGCATATGAACTGTGTTCTTGATTTCCATATCTCTAAGCTTTGAGTGGGCACCCTGCGCCGGTGTGAATCTTCATCTGTTTGCATGTGTGTGAAGTGGAAGTAAAAGCGAGTCTGATTGCACTGGTATCGGGGCTGGTTCCCTTACCCCAGGCGCCATAGTCGTTGATGATAGGGAAGGAGGCGCGCGCCACTGAGGCGCCATAGCCGAGGTGCACCATCGGAGAAGGAAGTCCGCTATAGATGCGCTGTGGAAGAAGGTGTCGTGTACTTGCGCAAAAGGCAACGAGAGAGAGAGAGAGAGAGAGAGAGAGAGAGAGAGAGAGAGAGAGAGAGAGAGAGAGAGAGAGAGTTGAGCGATACAAGATTGGTTGTGTGGTCC